GTGCTTCCCTCTCATTAAAGTTATGCTGCATCAGAACATTCACCTGATGTCTTCTTTTTCACCTTCCTGAACCACTTTGCCTATGAAACATTGCTGTGAAGCCAGCCAAGAGCTGAAAACTTTATTCCTTAAGTTATTCAAGAGTCCATCAGGGCACTTTAGGTGACAGCAGGAGTTTGGAGCGGTGGAAAATGTGGCACCTGTGACACAGTTCAGGATTCACGCCACTGAACCGGAATTCTGCTTCCTGACAGTGTGCGATGATCTTCCCTCCTAACTGCGGAGCTATATAATGATTGCAAATTAATTATCTAATTGTTTTCAAACTGAGCCAGTTTCCTCAGTCATATTACGATTTTGCTTGAGGCTGATGTGTTTCTTCTTTGCAATCATTAAATTAATCTCAGATTAATATACTTTAACATCATTAATCACGGGAAACTTAAGCAATTTCTTAATCATATGAAAAATCCTCTAAATTATTGGGTTGGGTTTCTTTTCCATCTCCAGTAAAGCTGTCAATTCAGATTTTCATTATTGCCATTTTCACTAAGATATAAAAGTTAGGTTTTGAAAGTAGGACCAGGAATCTATGACAGGGATATCCCATGTTGTGCTAATGGTCCCTGTGTTCAGTTCAACCCTCTTGACTTCCCAATTGTGTAATTCAACATGAAGTATAAAAAAAATACCTAAAGATCTTTCTTTGGTTCCTGATCTCCCTCCTGTGCTTCCCGAGTAACACCAAATGCAGCAGAGCCAGGTTTTAATGCATCTTTAGCATTTCGACTCATCCATTGGCCTCTTTGAGCTCCTCCTCCCAGCAATGGCTACGGCAAACAACAACACAAGGTGTTATTTCGGGTCTGGCGTTACTCATCGCTTGTGAAAGTCTCTCTTGCACACCCCTGTGACATGAAAGCACACTGTGCTCTCCTAGAGATGCAGCCCTTTAAAGGGGTCATGGTCCAAAGAAATTCCTAAATGTCTTCAGGTATTTAACGCTTCAAGGTGACAAATCAAATAACGCTTATGTGGTTGGTTTTCTTTGGCTACAATTCACAGTCCCAAAGAAAGGTATTTTTATATTGGTTTGCATCTTTCAGACATTCTTGGTAATGTACTTGAATTGCCTGAACCTCAGATATCTCCAGGGAACCTTGATAATTCCTGTAAACTGATTTTAAATGAAATACAGTGACAGAATGGATAAATGACTCCTCCAGAAGAGTTGGGCTATACCAGGGTGTAAAATAAAGGTCCTTATGAATTTCCAGTCTTCAGCTGACCATATCTCATGTCTTACACTCTCTTTTTCTACCTTTCCCCATTGGCCAGGAGAGGTCCTATGAAGCAGCCTGACCTCTTCTGAAAAGGCCTTGTAGATGCAGCATTTTTAGCTTTCATTCCTCATTTGACGTGAAAAGAAAAAGCTGCGCTGAGGAAAAATTCTGTATCCGAGGGTTGTCACTTGTCCGCACAAGCGACTTCTGTTTGCTCTCTGTTCACGCCCCAGCGCAAAGTCTTGACTCATCAGCTTCAGAAACCACTGTGCCCTATGGAGGAGCAGTGCTGAACTGCTTTATGTGCTTGAATTTTAAACGCTCCATTTAACCACCCTTTTCATAACACCTCCATCACTTAAGCAATTACTATCATATTACCATAAAAACACTTAATTGTTGCCCACAGACTATGAAGCCAGCTCGAGGAAGAGCCTAATGAGCTAGTGGAAAGACTAGGACCAAAACAGTCTTGCGACGAAAGAGAAGCTGAACCAAATTTGATTATGCAGAAGGATTTTTAATACAGATGGGAAACGGGTTACACCGCAGAGTGAGATGGCACACAACACAAAGCAGACAATTCCTCAGCTCCAGGGAAGGGTACAGCATTCACTGCTTATGAAGAGTACATTTTCAACTGTTCTTCTTCTCCTGACACAGTTTTACTGACAAATTCTGTGTCAGGCCTTTCAAATTATTATTTTTTTTACATTGGCACAATGAAAATAAGGATGTAGAATTGTCAGATGTTTAACAGAATGGTTTGTTAGCAGCAGACAAAGTGAAAAATGCCAGAAAGAGGTGTGGGACCAGTTTTCAGAGGTATCAATAAGGGTGACACCCATGGTTGGTGCAATGGGCTTTCACCATCTCTGGAAACCAGCCTCAGCTGCGGATCCAGATCTTGTGGTTTCGTCTCCTGGGTTGTTGCATGGTCTGCAGGTTTTCGGGCTGCCTTAATATGAGCCACAGTTTCCACGGCTGGATCCACTGCTGCTTCTGTAGGTCCGCCTCGTGTAACAGCCTCCCAAACCTGAGGAACCTCTGTACCCAGAGTAACGCCCAGACCCAGAGGAACCTCTCATCCCTGAGGAGCCCCCATAGCCAAAGGAGCTCCCAGACCCAGAGGAACCTCCCATCCCTGAGGAGCCCCCATAGCCAAAGGAGCTCCCAGACCCAGAGGAGCCCCCCATCCCTGAGGAGCCCCCAGAACCATAGGAGCCCAACATATCTGAGGAGCTTCCAGAGGTCAAAGCACCATATTGCTGGGGAAACGATGCTCCCACAATGCTTTCCTGAGGGCAGCTTTGGAGGATGGCGCCTGGGAAGGTGAGGAGGACCGGTGGGGCATACACCACGGCTGTGGAGTCTCCACAGGTTGCAACACAGGGCCCAAGGCTTTTTCCATAGACACACGGCTGTGGGCACGTCACCTCACACTGGGGCAGGCACCGGGAGCTGACGCTGCTGTACATGGTTCTTGAGGAGTGGAGGTCGAGCTGGGAAAGAAAATGCGTAGTCAGGAAACCATCATGCTCAGGTGCTGGTGGGCACCCATCATAGATGTGACAGCAATGGCATTGGGTTGGCAGATGATATCAAACAGAGTCACACAGCGGTAGCGGTTGGAAGGGACCTCTGAAGATCACTCAGTCCAACCCCCCTGCTAGAGCAGGATCACCCCGAGAAGATCCCAATATCCTTGCTCACGCTTCCTTTTCCTCCCTCATGTTCTCCTGCCCTGTGGTCCCTTTGTTTCCTTCCTTCTTGTCCCTGTGGAGGATGCCTAGGACTACGTTTAGCTTAGCTTTCCAGTTGCATCTAAGTTTTGAAAGACGTAAGAAAAAATAAAGTAACTCTTCAGATTCTACCTCTAAATGTGAAGTTGATTTTTACCACTGATGACAAGTTACAGCAGTACATCTCCTATGAAAAGTAAGATTTCACTAAGACATCTTATTGCTAAAACCACAAAATACAAGGCGAGGCAAAGAAAAGAGTCCTCATTTAAAACTATCGCTACAGAGACATTGCAGATATAAAAGCATTAGCTTAAATGAAACTCACCCAGAACACAGAGACAGGTAAGTCAGGAGAAGGTTTTAGAAAACTCTTGAGATACTCCTGCTTTTATACCATTTTGAAGGTAACTCGGGGAGGTGAAGCATCTCATAATACCTCTAGTACTTACCAACTATGGGTCTTCTGACATTGCAGATATAAAAGCATTAGCTTAAATGAAACTCACCCAGAACACAGAGACAGGTAAGTCAGGAGAAGGTTTTAGAAAACTCTTGAGATACTCCTGCTTTTATACCATTTTGAAGGTAACTCAGGGGAGGTGAAGCATCTCATAAAACCTCTAGTACTTACCAACTACGGGTCTTCTTTTCCGGTGACTCCTCTAATATCTGTAATTACTTTCATCGTTTCAAATTCATAAATCATCCACAGACCTACACAACATGACTCCATATGATAAATTTCTTTTGTGCATGGCCAATAAATTTCTAAATTGTACAGCCAAATTCCTACGCAATATCATTCTGCTGACTACACTGGATTTACAAGGGAAATTAATTGACCCGTGCTCAGTATTTTTTTGCTACCAATTTTCCAAGAAGGGGCTCCCAGAAAGATCAACCCTGCAAGTCTGTTTTCAATAATGGCCTGACCCTGATGCTGAGCAACACGGGATAATTTTGGAGGTCAACCTCATTTCTGAGAGCGGCCTTGAACCCAAAAGACCTGGTGATCTCTGAGTACGCCCTTGCAGTGGCCCCACTGACACCTTCGTCACAAGGCTCTAAGCATAACAACCCAAAGTGAAGTTTTGATTCATACTTAGGTAAAATTACTCAGAAGGCTCAAAGCTTAAAGGACATGTCAAGTGTCACTTCGATCCCATTTATCTTTGTTTTGAAAGACTTTTTGCAGGGCTTTGTCCTGGCCGGTGCTGAGGGACAATTTGTGAGGCCTGGTTCCGTCATGGTGCTCCATCATCCATTGGGTCAATAGATACAGGCGGGGTTGCAAAGAATGTTGCCCCCCTGTCCAAGGTAGGGTTGGATGATACAGTCTGGGAGGTATTATACCTAAATCTAAGGCTTGCTAATAAATGGTGGATCTGACACATCACTAAGCTGCCTTCCTTAAAGCTTTTAAAGAGAAGTAAACAGGGAGATCAACTCCTGTCTCAGTTGGAACCAGAATGATGCTAAAAGGAGTTTTTCCATTAAGTTTGAGACAATAGGGAACTACTGGGTGTTGGATGCATGTCACTCAAAGCAGGGCTGTGAATGGATTTGAAACGAAAACAATTACAAAGCTTAACAAGTATTTTTTTCTTGGTAAGGGACAAGAATGTGGTGAATAGTGGATGACCTCATATCCTTCCCATTGTCTAAGAAAGTGTATAAAAGGGTAGAGAAGGAAGAAATCGTCTATTCTTCCAGCTCCACTGATTTATTCCTAGAAGACAACAGGGTAAGTCCAACTTCATTGTATGTCTTTGCAGCTGTACAATACTTTTTCTTGCAAAATGCTAGCAATTTTAGAAGAGCTGAAGCAAAGAGAAGAGGTTTAGCAATAATTCTTAGAAAAGCAGGGCTAAAGGGAAGAACAGAGTAGGGAATATTCTCTTACTTTCCTCTGGAGACTTTCTTAAACAAACCTTCCTGTAGATCTACTTCGAAAAGAGAATGAATGGGACTTTTCTGAACTAATTGTATAAGGATCAGTCAACTTAGTCCCAGAGAAAAGAGCGGTATTTTTTGAGAGATTCAGAAAAAGAAGACATGGGGATGTACAAAGAAGAGATGGGGATGTGCAAAGCAAGAAGAACTGAGAAGCCTTAAAAGGGGTCAGTCAGGAAGAAAATAGCAAGGAAAATGGTGAGTGTGAGAGAGCTGGAGAAGGATGAGGTGCACCTGGTTCATACTGGGCACGTGTTGGCACCTGACTGTGATGGCTTCTTGATTGCAGGTTGTCTTTCCCAGCTTCACCTCCACTCCCCAAGAATGATGCTGAACAACGCCAGCTCTGAGTGCTTGCCTGCCTGCGAGGTGACCTGCACGCAGCCATGTGCCTACAGCAGAAGCCTTGAGCCTTGTGTTACATCGTGTGGGGACTCGAGAGCCGTGGTGTACCCTCCACCAGTCGTCCTCACCTTCCCAGGCCCAACTCTCAGCAGCTGCTCTCAGGAGAGCATTGTGGGAACATCATTTCCCCAGCCTTACGGTGCTTTGACCCCATACGGCCCTGATGAGTCCTATGGGATGGAGGGTTCGTTTGGTTCTGGGGCTGTGTCAGGGACGGGGGGCTTCTTTGGCTCAGGGGGGTCCTGTGAGTACGGGGGCTCCTCAGGGATGGGGGATTGCTTTGGTTCTGGGGTCATGTCAGGAATGAGGGGTCCCTTTGGATCTGGGGTCTCTTGTGGCTATGGAGGCATGGCAGGGATGAGGGGTTCCTTTGGATCAGGGGGCTCTTGTGGGTATGGAGGCATGGCAGGGATGAGGGGTTCCTTTGGATCTGGGGGTTCCTATGGGTATGGAAGCACCACAGGGATGGGGGGCTGTTACAGCAAGCAGTTCTACAGCAGAAACCGTGGATCTCGCATTGGGAACTGTGGCTTGTTCTAAGGGAGCCTGAACACCCGCTCGACCACTCAGGAGACGAAAACGCAAGATCTGGATCTGCAGCTGAGGCTGGCTTTCAGAGCTGGTGAAAACCCGTTGAGTCAGCCACAGGCGCCACCCTTCCCCGGTACCTCTGAAGACCGGGCCCACACCTTTCTTCTACGTTATGCCTCATCTTCCGTCAATGGCAGTTTCATATGATGGCCTCTCTCCTTAAATTGTTATTAGCTTTGTACTATGTCCTTTCTGATGGAGTGGAAATGGTTTAAAATTCACAAGTGGGACTTTGTTGCAATGATTTCAGCTTTAGCTTGTAAAGTGCAGTGCCTTTTATCATCAACATGTACCATCCTGCTGCCTTTGGACTATGGAGCAGACCGTTAATGAACTGCACTGGCCTATTCTGTAGCGCTTATTTCATGTCATATTAAAGTCTTGCCTAATCATATTACTGGCTTTCCTTCTCTTTCATTCTGCTTTACAAACTGTATTTAGTGAAACTGAACTCAGTGGGAGTCAAAATCGCAGGTGAAGCTCCATGTGTGTGAAGGGAAGGGGAACTCGATGTCCTGATGCCCTGCATGAAAGCACCCACCTAACCGTTCTTCTGTGTAGGGAGCCCTTTCCACACATTTTAGCAGCTGAGCCTGGAAGGAGCCATTCTTGAATACTCGTCTGAATCTGACAGCATTTTGGATAACGTAGTCTGCAGAGGACGAGTGTTAATTGTAACCTACATTGACCTCCATGCAATTGCACTCACGCAGTCTGTGAGAATACTCGTCTGAATCTGACAGCATTTTGGATAACGTAGTCTGCAGAGGACGAGTGTTAATTGTAACCTACATTGACCTCCATGCAATTGCACTCACACAGTCTGCGTTTCTGAGGCTGAGCCAGGAATATCGAGATAA